ACCGTGCTGTTTCTTGTTTTTCTATACTTCCTACCTAAAATGTCTGCATAGTGAGGATCTGCTCATTGAATCTGACTATGTGGGCTCTACCTGATGACACCTTATGCGGCGACTAAAATTCCGTTTGTCTTTAAGGTGCTTGCAGGACTCCTGTTTGTAGTTCCTTGTTCACAGCTGTATCACTTTTGTACAATCTTGTTCTTGGTGATGAAAAATCTTACAGCTGGGGCGGTGGTGCTGATGGTTGTACTGTGGGCTCATACGTAGGGTGCCAAAAATATAGCCACCATTGCTTTTCTTCAACAACATGCGCTCTTTTTTAAAAAAAAATCTTCCCTTTTCCTCCCCCCCTTCTTTCTAGAGCCTGCCATTGCTTTCTGTTGCTCAGTTTAATTCTTTGTGGAATCACCAGCACTTGTTTGGCTGGCAAGCTGGAACATGCACAGCCCAGAGCGATGTAACACCAGGAGATGGCAGAGCCGCCGGAGCCAGGGGACTCTCTGGGGGAGGGAGCGTTGGGGGCTGCTGCGGTGACTGGTCCCTGCTTGGCTGGCAATAGGCTTAACGTAGATGTCTACCCGGATGGCTGTCAGCAGTTCGTCAAGCTGCTGGAACTGAGAAAGGAAGAAGTGGCACAGGTGGAATTTTTGCGGCTGAATTGCAATGAGGACCTGATCACGTCCACGCTGGGCCACATCCCTCTCCTGAAGGCTCTGAAATCCCTGGTGCTCAAAGGTAATGACGTGTTTTTTCCTTTTTTTAAAAAACTCCGATTTGCTACTGAGTAGGATTGAACGACATACATAGGGGTTTCTGTATCCTTACTTGGGGTGAACTCCTAGGGAAGACATTTCCAAATGCAATGAAGGACAAGGCTTTTGTAGACTGGGGAGGTCATGTCATGCAGAAAAGCTGCATTTGTAAAAACTCCATTTTATGCACAAGTGTTAAAGACCACGGGTCTGTTAAAGGCAGCACTGCTGTACATAGCAAGGCTTTTGAGCAAAGGTGTGTGGAGACAGGATGCTACAGTTAGTGCTTGGGATAGCAGCCGTATTCTTTTTTTTCTCCCCAGCTGGCCAAAGTCAAGATCTTCCTGCTATATTGTCTTTGCAACTTTTACTGCAACGATGGTAGAAGTGTTGCTGTTTAGAGATGGCAGCAAAAAGAAGCAGGACTCTTGCAGCAACTTAAAAGACATTTTATTTCAATGTAAACTTTTGTGGATATAGCCCTATTAATGAGAGGCAATGAGTGGATCTTTGCTATGTTGGTCTGTTGTGGCAAAATAAAACAAAAATCAAGTGGCTAAAAACATCTTACTAAGAGCTTTTGTGGGTCACAGCCCCCTTTGTCAGGTAGGTGTGTGGTGGGGAAAAAACTCACGGTGAAATAAATGTTGTTAAGGTGCCATTAGAATTCTTGTTTAATTTTTCTTGGCTATGCAGACATTTTATGTAGGAGGTATTTTTAAAAGGCTGGTTCAAAGAGCCCGTGAAATGTTGGAAGTACACTGTGCAATGTAACGGTGTAAAATTCAAATCTAATCAGAAAACGTACAGACCCCTTCACCGTGCTCAGGGGTCATTTCGTAGAAAAAGGGGTGCAGGAGCTCATTAGCACAACTCATTAGCATAACTAATTTGCATCTGCCACACCCCCTGACATCACCGGAAGTGTGTCAGAAGGCAACACCCACCGCTCAGGCTCCACTGGACTCTTTTGGATTGCTAGCTATTGGGGGGGGAGGGATGTGCAGATCTGCCCTCGCAGAGGAGGGAGAGCTTGTACCTGAATAAAACTTGGTCTTAAAGGTGCCACTGGACTGTTTTGGACTGGGGGGCCGGGGGGGGGCTCTGCAACTTACCTGGCTGCTTCTTGCTCTGACTTCTGCAGGAAATGACCCCTGACCGTGCTGTTTCTTGTTTTTCTATACTTCCTACCTAAAATGTCTGCATAGTGAGGATCTGCTCATTGCATCTGACTATGTGGGCTCTACCTGATGACACCTTATGCGGCGACTAAAATTCCGTTTGTCTTTAAGGTGCTTGCAGGACTCCTGTTTGTAGTTCCTTGTTCACAGCTGTATCACTTTTGTACAATCTTGTTCTTGGTGATGAAAAATCTTACAGCTGGGGCGGTGGTGCTGATGGTTGTACTGTGGGCTCATACGTAGGGTGCCAAAAATATAGCCACCATTGCTTTTCTTCAACAACATGCGCTCTTTTTTAAAAAAAAATCTTCCCTTTTCCTCCCCCCCTTCTTTCTAGAGCCTGCCATTGCTTTCTGTTGCTCAGTTTAATTCTTTGTGGAATCACCAGCACTTGTTTGGCTGGCAAGCTGGAACATGCACAGCCCAGAGCGATGTAACACCAGGAGATGGCAGAGCCGCCGGAGCCAGGGGACTCTCTGGGGGAGGGAGCGTTGGGGGCTGCTGCGGTGACTGGTCCCTGCTTGGCTGGCAATAGGCTTAACGTAGATGTCTACCCGGATGGCTGTCAGCAGTTCGTCAAGCTGCTGGAACTGAGAAAGGAAGAAGTGGCACAGGTGGAATTTTTGCGGCTGAATTGCAATGAGGACCTGATCACGTCCACGCTGGGCCACATCCCTCTCCTGAAGGCTCTGAAATCCCTGGTGCTCAAAGGTAATGACGTGTTTTTTCCTTTTTTTAAAAAACTCCGATTTGCTACTGAGTAGGATTGAACGACATACATAGGGGTTTCTGTATCCTTACTTGGGGACAGGCCCTGCTGTACATAGCAAGGCTTTTGAGCAAAGGTGTGTGGAGACAGGATGCTACAGTTAGTGCTTGGGATAGCAGCCGTATTCTTTTTTTTCTCCCCAGCTGGCCAAAGTCAAGCTCTTCCTGCTATATTGTCTTTGCAACCTTTACTGCAACGGTGGTAGAAGTGTTGCTGTTTTCGATCTTTAGCTGTCGAATGGAATTAATACATTTCGGGCAAATGCAGACAGTTCATTCGGGACACATACACTGAAGGCTCTGAAATCCCTGGTGCTCAAAGGTAATGACGTGGTTTTTTTTTTCTTTCTTTTTTAATCCAAGTTGCTACTGAGTAGGATTGAACGACATGCATAGGGGTTTCTGTATCCTTACTTGGGGAGAGGCCCTGCTGTACATAGCAAGGCTTTTGAGCAAAGGTGTGTGGAGACAGGATGCTACAGTTAGTGCTTGGGATAGCAGCCGTATTCTTTTTTTTCTCCCCAGCTGGCCAAAGTCAAGATCTTCCTGCTATATTGTCTTTGCAACTTTTACTGCAACGATGGTAGAAGTGTTGCTGTTTTTGATCTTTAGCTGTAGAATGGAATTAAGACATTTCTGGCAAATGCAGACAGTTCATTTGGGACACACCCACACCCCGGTTCCATCCCAATCAATGCTCCCTCTAAGCCGTGGAGTCTTGTGAGTAAAAATTCTACTTTGCGAGCCACTGGCATTTAAGTTGTGAGCGAGCGATTTGGCTCCTGCATCAATTAGTTTGATCTGGAGCCCTTATTCCTGAGCTGAGACAAAAAGGTGTGAACCAGAGGGTACAAAACTGTGAGCTAGCTCACAGGAACTCAGCTTAGAAGGAAAACTGATCCCAATGTGCCACCTTCTTAGGTAAATGGACATTCAGTCTCCTGTTCTTCCTCTCCCCCCTAATTTGTGTATGCGAAAAGGATCCATGCTTTTTGACGAAAATAACTGTTTGTCAAAGCATAGAAATGGGACATAGGAGGCTGTATCCTCTGCCTGCTCCTGCCTGAGTCTTTTCTCCCTCGTCATCATGCGGTAGGCTGAAAGCGAGTGGTAATCCATTCACACAAGCACAGGTAACATACGGCTGGACTAATGGAGCTTATCAATTAAGATGTAGTCTTGATGACATTTGACTCCAGATCTCTGGAGACCCTTTCCCAGTGCATCATGTGAAGGCTAATGAGCATGGGAGTGAATGGAACCCCCTCGACACAAATGCCACGGGGAAGAGCAGGAATTGTTGGTACCCCTTTCTGGAATCGATCACACTGGGCTCCCGGCATGGAGTGTAGCATGGACCCTTCGTACCACCTTCTCGGGCTCGTAGCTAACGCGGGGCCCACGGCCCCCTCGTGTTTCTTCTGGGCCACCTCCCTCCCGGCTGCCCCGAAGTGCCTCGACTCGCCACCTGCGCACTGCGCTGCCTCCAACCTGGCTGCCTGACAACTGAGCTCCTTGGGCACTCCAGAGAAGTGGAATCCTTCATCCACAGAGCAGTTCCGCAGGGCCTGCAAGACGGAGCTCTTCCACCAGGCCTTTGGGTAGGAGCCGCCGCCACCACCATCGCTACACCACCTCCGCTGTATTGTCCTTCTACCAGACCCCATGGAGGTCGGTTAGTCTGTTGCGCTGGGACGCTCTCATTGTCAAGATCATAGGCAGCAAATAATCGCCGAGCATTTGTAAATGGTATAGATTGTACAGACTGAAGCGCCAGTTTTTATTGTATTTAAAATTATTTTATTGTTTTAGTATTTGTATGTTGTTAGCCGCCCTGAGCTACTGGGTAGGGCGGGATAGAAATCCCATAATAAATAAATAAATAAATAAATCTTGGAAACTAAGCAAGTACTTGGAGGGGAGACCTCCTTGGAATACCAGCAGTTGAGAGGCTGAAGCAGGCTTTATTCAGCCGCCTATCTGAATATCTTCCAGGCCCTCCATAGGGGTCAGTCACCAGAGGTCGCTGTGACTTC